GTCCAGCCCACATCCCATGGAGATTCGCCCTGAGCAGCTGACAGGCTTGAAAATCGGTCGCGCTCTTTTTGTTGGCGTTCACAGGTTGGTTGGAGGTTGGTTGGTTCCAAATCAATGGGATCAGCGGTTTCACCTGAAAGGTCGACCAGCCTACTCCCAAGGACGCTGTGTCGAATTTTGTTGACGATTTTTGACATGTTACAGTGTCAGCACGGTCCCTAGGTTGGGATGATGTTTACAGGAAAACGCATATTTTTCTTGACTGTGACCATGAAAGTTGCGGGCTTGTCCCACAAATCTTCCCTCCAACAAAGTTGTGACTGCTGCAGTGTGCCCTAGGATTGGATAGTTGTTCCATGTGGCGATGTTCAAAGACATGCCTTTAAGGTTGACTCTCAAATTTTGGCTTATGGCCAAAATTGGCCAAATATCCTCGTAAAGTCACATTCTTGTTGAAAGTGCTTAAGATCTCCAAGTTTTTTTTTGGTCTTTAAAGATCCCATGTTGGTCTCTTAAATCCAACAGTTCCTCTGGAACTTTTAACATAGTTATTTTTCAAACAACCCATGAAAATAGCTGTATGATGATTTACCCTCTGGTTATTTAACAGTTCGCCATGGTACAGATGGCCCATTTATAGATGGTTTACCGAACTTAAAAATGGTGATTTTCCATGGCAAACTGTTAAATAACCAGATGGTACCTATTCAAGCTTGTGATTCTCATAGCTACGTTGAATTTTCACAGAGGTGATGTACCCCGTTGCATCCCATGACTGGAATCCAGCGCAGGCGACAAACACGTGAGTGCCAGGCATCTGAAAGTGTCAAGGACTTGTCAAAATCACCGGAACGATCTCTTCACAGAATGAAATGAAGTGTATTAAACCATATATTAAGCCATATATTAAGCCATATATTAAGCCATATATTAAACCATATTATGCCATATCCTCTGGCATGGTTTTATAGAATCTCCTAACGGTTACCCCAGTCAAACTACGAGATGAATCCCATGAAATACCTCCCTCTGGTAAACGTTAACAAAAAACTATGGAAAGATCCACCATTCTTAATGGGAAAACTCACTATTTCTATGGTCATGTTCAATAGCTATGTAACAAATTACCAGAGGGTACCCATTTAGGACTTGCGCGCTTTTTCTTGGCGGAAATACTCTATAGACTTCTACTTATGGCGAACAACGCATTGACCTTTATTTTTTGTACTTGACAACCGAACCATTGTATTGGTGTATGATGAATCGCTATGCAATCTTTAGTCGCAACAAAATGTAGAATCATCTAATCTATATGTCTATACATTTTTGGGGTTGTCTGAAAACGTCGAACCCGATTGAAGGATCAAAAAAAAATTATTATTGGGATCAAAAAAAATTATTATTTAGGGCTCAAAAAAAAATTATTATGGGGATCAAAAAAAAATATTATTAGGATTCATACTAATAGTAATAATAATGATAATAGTAATAGCAGTAGTAGTAGTAATAATAGTAGTAGTAATAGTAGTAGTAGTAGTAATAATAGTAGTAGTAAAAATAAAAATACTAATAGTAATAATAATACTAATAATAATAATAACAATATTAGAAATAATAATAATAGTAGT